TATTTTCTTAATTAACTAAACCAGAACTATAATAAGACTCAGATCAAATGTAAAACTTAGCCTCCACATTAACTACCATTGCCTCTTTTCTTGATTTGAAAATAAAATAAAACAATTTCTTTGCAGATTATAGCATTCAAACTTGAACAACAGAAAATGACATTGATTAAAAATAAAGCCGTCAAACAAGATGAAAGATTTAAGGTGATTGTTAAAATAAAACAAACTCTTTCTCAAACTCAAATTAAAAAAATAAAAATAAAAGGCCGGAAATGCATGTAATTTCACATTATAGTACAAGCATGAGGATTGTCGTCACTGAAGAGTGAAGCCACGGCCTCATCGGATGCAACGGCGACGGAATAAACTGCCGGCGTATGGAAGAAAGTATGAACACCGTTGGAGGCTTCGCTTTTGTAGGAATCGTAGTAATGGTTAACAATGTAGGTCGGATACTTGTAAAATGAAGAGAAGTGAGAGTACCCCGGGAACGGCCATGGCTCCGCCGCTTTTCCGGCGCGTTTAATGGCTTTGAGCACCTTCTTTTCCTCCACGGCGTAGCCCCGCACTGTGATTTTCTGAATCTCCATTTCTATTTCCACTTCTTCTACCCCTAAGAATCGATGTGGATATCATGAATTAACCCAAATTAATTAACAAAGTATATTATTAATTAGTACAACAACAAAAGCTTAGCAGAGTGATTCTCAAACTTCAAAAGCTTAGCAGAGTGATTCTCAAACTTCAAAAGCTTAGTTCTTCCTTGGCCAATTAATGCAAAAAATCCATTCTCCAATTCTCGGGTAACATTATGGCCACACCAATCTTTTAGTTAAAGTCACCAATATTTTTTTCAATGTTATTAATTTTACTTATAATTTTATTATTTTATAATTTTTATCTTAAATATTAATTATAATATTAGAAAAAAAATCTATTTAAAAATTAATTTCAATCAATTAAATAATAAATATTAATTATTTTATTAATTATCAACTAATTTTAACAATCAAATTAAAATAAAAATTTAATAAACTTAATGATCTTAAGAAAAATAATAGTAGCCATAAGCAAGTTCTCTCCCATGTCTACAAAAAATAAAATAAAATAAAAAAGGGAGTCCTCTCCTAAAGGCTATTGGGCTGCCAAGCCCATTGACAGCAGATTGGTAAAATGGTAGTAGCTACACGGCCCAATTTGTTCTTTTTGAGGAGGAAGTTGCACTACCATAAGTCCATAACCAACACGGGGGTTGAAGAGAGTCTAACTCTCAGTTAAGTTTCATATGCAATTTATGGGAGAAACTGTTGCCCCAGAAGTTGCTGTCCTAGAAAATTACTATTGGGTATTTAGTTTATCCAACTAAACTATTGACACTTCTCCAAGAAGGTTACCTTCTAGAGCCTTGAACTTATAAAAGGTGAACTTTTTAAGAAAGTGTCGATTTTAGTTAATTAAAAATAGTTTAATAAACTATGGCAATCTAGTCAATTTAACATTAGATAGAAGTTTTTACGGACAGTAAATTTCGGAGTAGCAGTTTCTTCCAAAAACTATATACTAAAACACCTCTTATAGCTCGTTTTAGGCAGTAGCAAAAGTTACCTATCTTTATTTAAAACATTGCATTTGGACCAAAAAAATAAAATAAAGTAAAAAGATTGTATTAGTGTTCATTTGGTTTTGACCTGAGTTTTAAAACAGATTTTCTACTACATAAGCTAAATTCAAGAGATAAAAAGTTCTTTTAAAAGCATTTTAGATTTTTCTGAAAGTTAAAATCAATTTCTAAAAATTTAGAAGCTGTAGGTGCATGCAACTTCGCACCTTCAACAATAGAGCTTTTGCTAGTTTGAGTTGGTAAATTTTATCAGTTATTGATCAGCAGTTCGAAACATTCTATTCAAACAAGAAGCAAGCCGAACCAAGATGGGTTTAATCATAAGCAAAAGAAGTCCTTCTATTAATAGGGAAATGGGTTAATCTAAACATGCAAAATAAGGTTGGGTACCTTTAAGCTTGAACAGAGCTTTCTTCAACTTGGAAGCACATCCCTCGCAGTCTAGGTTTGGCACTCTAACCTCCACCATCTGCAACACATGCTTGCTTCATCAAAATTAACCTCATTCTAAAGTCTGAACATTTTTGTGTGTGCATGTATGTATGTATATGCAGAAACAAAAAGGGAAGAGAGTTAGAGAGACAGAGCCTTACAGACATGGCTAAGTGAAGCAGAGTTGTGTAGAGTTGATGAAGCAGCTGAGTCTGTGGTTGTGTGTGAAGAGTTTGTGTGTGAAGAGTTTGTGTGTTAGTAGAAGGCTTAAGAAAGGGAGCTTTGGGTTTCGAAATTTGAAGGCACAATCGAGAAAGGATGTTTCAACTTTTTCGCGTGGGATTGGGAAAGCGTGACTTTATTTATGCTCACTCCATTGCCAATGCGAATGTAAAGGCCACGCTGTTTCTCGACTTCATCATTAACATCACCCACAAATCAAACAACAAACCAGACAAACTCCTAGAAGTAATTAAGATTTTGGGGACACATTGTTTTCTTCTTTCTTTTTCTTT